CATCCTCTAAAAGATAATGTTTTCAAAAAATAAAATTTGGTGATGAAGCATAAATGTAAACAACAATCAACAATTAAATTTTGATCTATAGTTTATGGGATTATAGTGGCGAATTTCGAAGTTGAGCCTTTCACGAAAGTTGTAATGCTTGTCACTACGAGCGTATATATATATATATTAAAATTAATAATAGGAGGATTCTCTCCCCTCCTAACCTCTCTCTCCTTCCCTCCCCTCCTACTTAAACGGTTACGACTAAACCACGTCAACATTTTATATTAATTTTTTTACAGAAACAATAAGACACAAAGCAAAGTGTGAGAAAATGAAAGAAAAAAAAGCATGAAATTAGAAAGGGAGAAAATCCTACTCCCATCAAATTATCCTTTTGAAATTTGATGATCCTTTTGCAAAAGGTTCAAGGGCAAGGAGACATATGGTGAAAAGGACGGCACCAGAACTGTATTATAAGAAAAGACAACAATAACACGAGCCAGTAGACGGTGATGGATGTAATGGCCCTTGCCAAGAATGATCGATGCCATTTTTCAATAAAATTTGCTGTGCACCATTCATTCAGTTTTTCAGTTGAGTCAATCTGACTAGACGGTAGGCAGGGACCATCTTCATATTCAAGCCTGTGATCCTCTGCATTTACGATTTATATTAAAATTCAACAAGAAACATGCAGACGTGAGACCGTAGTAACGTCGGATAGAGTACATATGTTCAGTGGCTGAGTCAGAAATCAAAGTTAGGAGAGGCATCTAAGCCATATGCCAGAAATTGACAAAAACTAATATAACTAATGAGAAAAAAAAAAAGAGGAATTAAAATTTTTAATCAAAAGAGAGCAATAAAGTCACAATTTTTTTAGATAATTATATCATAAATACCAAATGCCTTTATAAGTTCCTACATTGAAGTTGAATAAAAATTAATATTCATGGCTCAAAACTGCAGCTATGGGAATTTTCTTTTAAGAGAAATTCTTCTTCTATTCCATATATAAGTGTTTCATTATAAAAAAAAACAAGCTATCATGCAAAATAGTGAACAAAGGAAGACTATAGTTGATATAAGGCGTTGGTTTCATAACAATACTACTATGTTAACTCATATAGTAAAGTCGAAGAATGCAGAGTATCCAACCAAAATGATACAAAGAGAAGCTACAAAAGGAAAAATTTCAAGGTATGTCCGAACCTCCTCTGGTCCTCAAGTGGCTCCACCACTGCGTATGCTTCCTTCATATATTCACATATGAGTTTGAATCATGTTTCTCATTAATTTGAAATAAAATATCACTTGTATTAAAAATTTTGAAATGGAGTTACATTTCTTGTCCCATACGTTAATAAAATTTGAGGTTACTTTGTGTTAATTTTGAGGTTACGGCACAGCGAGGCAGCCTAGAAGGATTTTGGTGCTTCTTTGGGTTGGATGCATGCATAGCTACTGTGCCACTACTAAGCCAGCATGTAGCTTAGGTGGGTTGAATATGGAATTTTGGAAGACGGATAATGCGTTCGGGGTCTGACTTTTAAGTATCCAGCTAACAAATTGATTGTTCGGCTAAGGAAGGAACTTTGTTGACCTAGATTCTTTCTCCACCTTGCTATCAAAATCAGGTACTATTTTTAGTTCATGGCAAAATGATGCTTGTTCAAAACTGAAAGTGTTTGGACGAGAAAAAAAAAAACTAGGATTATGAGTGACAAGAGTTTTTTCTATTTTTCTTTATTTAAAGAAAAGCCTCAATTTATTTACCGCACAAGGCCTCCTAAATCAATAGACCGAAACTAATACAACAATTTTAGGTTGGTTGTGAACATGGTCGTGATAACATGTTAGGCCATGAACATTCTAGTAGCAGCGTAATTTGACGCAACACAAATCGATCAAAGGGTTACCAACGTAATCCCTTGTAGAACAAAGTCTTAAATCCACAAGAAAATTGAAAGAAATTACAAAGGATAATTTGATTAAAGATTGAATTGATGATTACAATTGAAAAATCCAACAACTTAAATAAAGGATTTCAACTGCTTGAAACAACTTAAAGGACTTTGGTAATTAAAACAACACTGATCAGATGACAACTCAAAGGTCTGCTTTCTATAACAAAAATTAAAAGGGGTGCATTCAATTGGAATTTTGTAGGGATTTTAATGGATTTATACATCCATGGATTTGGTGAAGTTTACTTGATTCCTAAAAAGTCTTTGTAAAATTGTGAGTGAATTCCCTCAATTTTTTAGGGGGGGGATTTGAGGTTTGAGAATGTTTAAACAAAATCTCTCCAATTCTCTCAAATTCACCAACTTTTTAAAATTCTTAAGAATCAATTTCTAATTGAATATACTAGGATATAAACTCCTTTTCAAATACTGATTGAATACACCTAGACTTTCAAAGAATCAATTAAAATTCTGAATAAGTACCCCTGAATTTGTAAAAAGAATTCAAATATGTCAAAGTCTCAATTGAATACACCCCTAAAACTGTGTTTTGGAAGCCTATACGACTTCAAATGGCTTAAAAAACGATGGGCTCATGGTATACCATGAGTTGTTGTGTTCGATATTTTCTTCAAAATCAACATATATATTATACATTCAATTCTGACGTCAGAATATTATTTGTTGTCATTGTCTAATCTGTCACAATATCGATTGAATAAAATATTTTTCAACTTTAATTCTTCTTTTCCATAATTTAAACATTTTATTTTCTTTACATTTCTTCTTCAAAATTGACCCATATTTTATCCTACATCTTTATCCCATCGACTAGTTAGCTTCAGTAAAATTTCGGCCTATGTTAGAATTCAACCTAATTAGACTCCAATGACCAAAAACAAAAAAAACAAAAAAACCCTAATTAGACTCTTGGTCTACGCCACGCCGCACGTCCATTTGTCATCTTAGTCCAATATGGCCACTATATAGCAGTCCAAATTCATTCTAGTCTCGGGCGGTTTTGAATTTTGGGTACAAACATGATGGTGTTCGCCAATATATATGTGCAGTTGTAAGGGGTTATTCTTGCTTTATGTGACGTGTACCCTAATTTGGTTTTGATCTAAGGATTTGGATTCCGGATTCAAATTATGGGGTTCTTAGGAATTTTCACATTTTAGCCATTCATCGTGCATCGTGGGATCATAAATTATTTATTTATCTTTATTTAAAATTAAACACAAATAGTACCTGACAAATTCAAACCTAAATGAGTTGGTCAACTTTATCATGGACAAGTTAGTTCACTTTTTTTTTAGTAATTAAACTTAAAATATGGTATTTTGACTTAAATTTTTGGGTCAATCTCAGTTACTACTCTGAATTTTCTTGGTTTTCAACAATTGGTACATGAAGTTTTTTTCATCCCAGAGTGGTACCTGAAGTCATAATTTTGGGACCTTTTTCATACATCTGTTAATGTTACTGTTAAATCAGTCGTTGACTGGTGACGTGACGTCCACGTGGACAATGATAGGGTGTCACACGTCAATATTAAAAAGTTAAAAGTAATAAAAAATTATTAAAAAAAAAATGGGGTCTTCTCCTACCTCCCATGACCCTCCCTCCCTCCCTTCTCTCCTCTGCACCCACCTCCAAACCCTCTTCTCTTCTTCGACAGCCCCACCTACCAGATCTCGTCGCGAAGCACTGATGTCATGGCCGAATCGGAAGCAACATCAAAGAACCAATTGCAATCAGAGGAGCATCGCGAGATGATATGCATCAAAGGGGTTGCAATTTTGGTTGGTGCCCCATGGCTCTCCACTGTCGTCAAATATGGTAGGTGGGGCCCGAAGGTTCGTGCTCACGAGGCCGTCGAAGAGTAGAGTAGAGGAGAGGAGGGTTGGGTGGGTGGAGTCGAAGAGGGAGGGGGAATGGTGGATGTGCGAGGAGTCGAAGAGGAGAGGAAGGTTGGGTGGGTTGGTGCAGAGGAGAGAAGAAAGGAAGAAGGGAGGAAGGGAGGGGAGGGGGAGGTAGGAGAAGACCACTAAAAAAAATTTAATAAAATTTTTAATTTTTTTAATACCCACGTGGGCCTCATATTGATACATGGCACCCAATCATTGTCTATATGGCCACACGTCACTAGTTAACGGCTAATTTAACAGCAACCTTAACGGATGTATGAAAATATCCCAAAATTATAATTTCAAGTATCACTATGGGATAAAATAAATAAATTTAAAAAAAAACACTTCATGTACCAAATTTTAAAAATAAAAAAATTTTAAGGTAGTAAATTGAGATTAATCCTAAATTTTTTTATTGTTTATTCATAGCTGAATGATTTACCTATCATTCCCTTATTACCAATATCACTCACTTTCCAAAAAATGTAAATAAACATACCACTAAAGAACTTTTTTTCTTTTTTCTTTTTCTCCATCAACGTTGTCATCGTAATTACACAGTTTTTTGTTCCCAAAGAAAGACAAGTATTAGAAGTGGTAAAAGTGATAAATGTGATTGGAGAAAAGAAAATTAAGAGCTAGCAAACCTCTACTGATTTCAAAACAATCTTTTTTACACATGGGTGTAGAAAACAAGTATGATATGATTTAAGAAAGGATATAAATATACACTATTTTCTTCTATCTACATACCCACAAATAAAATTAAATATAGACGTGTAAAAGAAAGAAAATCATCGTGTGAATATCATTTCCCTACTATAATTATCTGCCATAAAAGTACAAAGGTCAATTGGATCCGTCCATATGACTAATTGACGTACGTGAGCTGGACAGTATATCAATCCAATTCCAATTCCAGCCATAAGGCCCCTTCTCCTACCGTGTCAGCAATTTGGAGTTTCTCTCATCTCCTTTTAGCTTGAAAAAACTTATTAAACAAAGCTCACGAGACACTGATAGATTTTCAAAAGCTTCGAAAAAAGGCCATCCACAAACAGAAATATTACATAATAACAAAGGAAATATTATACGTAGCAGTCCCATATAAAACAAAAACGCGAAAACAAATCGGAGAGAGAGAGAGAGAGAGAGATCTCAACACAAGTTGTGGTTGATATCCATCCGACCTCTATACACTCCCACTACCAACTGCAAAAGCAACAAAACCCCTTGAGGGATATCCAACCTCATTACACAACTTGTTTGCCTCCTCTACTCTCCTCTCACATCCTTCATTCTAGCATAGCTACTCCGATGGAGCAGTACTTACTGGCTAGCTGTTAACCCTAGAGGGTGAGCCGTGTGCTTGAAATTATTTTTCAGCAGACTAGCTGATTTATTAGCTACTACCGCTGTTAATTTTGGTATTATTTTTTTGCATCCGGAAATTAATCAGAAATAATTGCTTGATGCTTATTTTATCACCTTTGCGGGAGGGTCATCATCACCATCAGCTCAAAGATGAAAAACAATTAGGTGATGATGGTGACGTGGAGAGTAGTTTTGCTTTTAATGGCGGAAATAACGCGGTGCTTGATTTCCCAGAGTTTTCCGGGGGAATGGGAATGGGGAGTCTGCTGGATAGCATCGACTTCGATGACTTCTTCATTGGTATCCATGACGGAGATGTGTTGCCGGATTTGGAAATGGACTCGGAAATACTTGACTTTTCAATTTCAGCACCAGCCGGCGACACCAACACAACAACAACTACACCATCCAAAGAGGAAGAGGAGGTTGCTGACGGTTACTATAATACCGCAAAGACTACGACGACGTTGTCCAAAGTGGAAGAACCGGAGGAGGAGGACATGCAGGGGCATGACGAGGTTGCTGCAGCCGCAGTTGGTATAACGAGTACTAATAATAATTCAGGGTTGAATCAAAATTACTCCAGCTCCAGTACTACTACTCCTACTCCCGATCATCGAGTAGATCAAGAAATAGCGAGTAAAAGATATGATACTAATGAAATTAGGGCAGCTCATCGTCCATCCTCCGGATCCACCCGAAGAGAATCAGCTGATCAGAAATTAGCAACAAAGTCTTCATCCACAGTCCAATCCAAGAATTCTCATGGGAGGCGAAAAGTTAAGGTACATATATATAGCTTGGCTTTTGCAATTATCAATTAAATTTCTAGGTTTTGCAGTATGTTACTTGAGTTGGATGAAATATATGAGAAGCTCGTACTATGTAATATGTATAGATAACAACTCTCTCTCTCTCTCTATCTCTCTCTCTCTCTCTCTCTCTCTCTCTGTGTCGGTCATGGGATCTTCACAAACTTCATCAACTGCAAAGAATTCACGGGAATCAAGCAGGAGCGGATTGTAATTTATTCGTTTCTTATCAAGCTTGTGAATGGCAGTGCTCTAAAAAAATGTTTGTGAATGGCAATAATTGAGAGAGAGAGAGAGAGAGAGAGAGATTTGTGGTTTTTTCTTTTGTATCTTTTCAATTATTTGGCAACTTTAAAAGAAGTTTTTGTATATATATATATATATATATATGCAGTGCGGGATCTGACATTGAAAATGGTTTTGGTTATTGAATTGTGTGTAGGTGGATTGGACACCAGAACTTCACAGGAGATTCGTGCAAGCAGTAGAGCAGCTGGGGGTGGATAAGGCAGTTCCTTCTAGGATTCTAGAGCTTATGGGAATAGATTGTCTTACTCGCCACAATATTGCTAGCCACCTTCAAGTACAATATTTTCCCCACCTAGTTAATTCTATACTACTCTATTCCATCTCTAGTTAATCTAGTTAATTAGCCTTTATACATAACATATATACATGCTGAACATGGAACTAGATATATATAGCTTATTCAATTGTCAGTCTGCGTTTTTATTTTTTTGGTTTTAGTTTAGGTCTCTCATATATAGTTTAAAATAAGGGTGTTTTCCTTCAGATTGATATTCCAACGAGCGGTATAAATAAGGGTTTTCGATCTTCAAAGAGAAACAAATCTATTTGGGAATTACAAAGATATTTGTTTCTTTCATGATTTTGGAATTCGTTTTAGTGACTTTTCCAATACATTTAGATTTATAAATTATTATTTAATGTGCAGAAATATCGATCGCATAGGAAACACTTGTTAGCCCGTGAAGCAGACGCAGCTAGCTGGACCCAGAGACGGCAAATGTATGGGGCAGCAGCTGCCGCTGGAGGAGGAGCAGGAGCCAAGAGTAGAAGGGACGTCATGATGATGAATAGCCCTAATTGGCTTAATGCACCCACCATGGGTTTCCCTCCGATAACTAGTACTACACCTCCTCCCATGCACCACGCTCAACACCACCACCAGTTAACCGGACCCTTACATGTGTGGGGTCACCCCACCATGGACCAATCCATGATGCACATGTGTCCACCAAAGCATCATCTTCCCCACCATTTCCCATCTCCAGTACTACCACCTCCACCAACAGCTCCTGCACATACATGGCCTCCTCCTCTACCATCTCCTCCAGACGCTTCGTACTGGCACCACCCTCACTCTCACCACCAGCGTGTAAGTTCTTTCTCTCTCTCTCTCTCTCTCTCTCTCTCTCTCTCTCTAAACAAATTGGTTTAGTTCTCTATCTCTGTGTCTAGTTAAGTAAAGTGCTTCTTAGTATAATTCTCTATCTCTAGGTTATTTCCTTTTTCAGATTTTGTCTCTTATTTATACTTTTTAACAAATAAAAAACCTTAATTGGTAACTGTATTCAGTTTTCCAAAAACTGAAAGTTGAAAATTAAATGAAGGAAAATTTTGAAACCTTACAAAAGTAGTTTTTACTCCAAGAACTAAAAATAGTTGTTATAGACAAGTTGACTTGCTTGGTTAACTAGAGCAGGAGAGATTTTTCAGTGTAACCGTCACACGAGGTGGTACACCACGTGTTCTTATATAAATGGTGGGTTATGTGTGTTAAAAGGTTAATAACTTAAAAATTAAAATTTTCCACCACTTGCTTAAAAACACGTGGTGTACCATCCGTGTTCCCGTCACAACTAAAAAATTTCTCCTAGAGCAGTATGCTCCATTCTATACACTCAAGTTTGAACCTTTCTTGTAGTTTAGATAAGATTTTTGCTTATTTTTAGCTCCGTCCCCTATAACTTGATTTTAATCTCACTTTGCTTCCTATAACTCAAAAGTCGCAACTTTACTCTCTGAAACTCAAAATTCGCTTCACTTTGCCACCTAAACTCGATTTTGATTTCATTTTTCCATCTGAAACTTGAAAGTCATCTCTATAAAACTCAAAATTTGCCCATTGCTTTAGATCTGTTAATTTCTTTTTATTTGGGTGAGCCAGGCTAATCAATTTCATTTTATATTTTCATCTCTCAATTTCTTTTAAACTTAATATTCTCTGATTGTTGAATGTTGATGCATAATGAAGACTTATAATCAAATTTATTGCACATGCGACATAGTTAGTTATTGGGTGTTGGGTCCCACATATGTTTTAGGAGGCGACCAATAAGTTTCAGGGAGAAAAAAGAGTCCATAGTCAAAGTAGAACAAATTTTGAGTTTCAGTGAGTAAAGTTATAACTTTTGAGTTACAGGGGCAAAGTTAGATTAAGATGGAGTTCTAAGGAGTGTAGCTAAAAATAAGCCTAAATTTTTAAGAAAAACTAATGAAATGACTCTAAAACTTTGAATATTAATAAAAAAATCATTTAATTAGTTTATTTAACAATAAGGACAAGACAAAAGGGCAAAAAATAAAACCTACATAAAGGCGCGTGCAAGGGCACGCCAACCAATCCTTCAGCTACATAACACTTTAACATAATCCAAACATATTTTATTCCTTTAAAATTAAAATTTTAAATTGAGGTGGGTTTCGTGTGATTTAGAATCACATATGGGGCAAGTATGGTTGGGAGGGAGTGGGTCAAGTCTGGGTTGGGATGATGGGGGGTGGGTGTAGGGGTGGGGCAGCGGCGGTGAGCGTTTTGGGAAGGGATGGTGATCGAGTTTTGTGGAAGGGCGGGCATGAGGCATGCCTTTTCTTTTTATTTTTTATTTTATTTCTTTGTTTTTAATTCATACAATTTTTTAGTTCTTGGTTTATAAATTGATAATGGAAGAAAATTAAGTATTGGTGTAGAAAGCTAAGAAATTGAAGAGATTTAGAGAAAATTTGATGAGAATAAGAAAATTAGAAGAAGAAAAGTTGTTTGGAATGTGAGAAAGTGTCGAGAAAAATCAAAAAGAGGAGATAAAAGAATGGTCGTTAGACTTCCTGGAGAGGTACCATATTTAGTTTTAAAACATATTCAGTGCATGCTAACTTGTGTTCAATTTTAAAAATAGTACCCGTGTTCAGTTGCAGAAATAGTGTAGTAGCTGTGTTCAATTTTAGAATAATGTAGTACTCGTGTTAAGTTTCAGAAATAATTCGTGTTCAGTTTTCAGAAATAGTGTTCAGTTTAAAAAATAGTGTAATACCGTTCAGTTTCAAAAATAGTGTGTGCGTCATTTTTTTAATTTCTTTATTTCTATTTTATTTTTTATTGTATTAAACTTTTGCCATTTTTATTAAAATTTAAGTCATTTTCATTAAAGTTCAAGCCATTTTCATTAAATAAAATTATAGATGGTTTTTGCCTTTTGGTTAAAAAAAACTTAACCCTAACCTTTTTCATTAAAACTCCCAAATTTGAGTACTAAAATACATTTACGACTTGATGGTGTAGGTTCCGGACGGACTAACTCCAGGAACACCGTGCTTTCCGAGGCAGCTGGCTGCTCCGACGGTAACTAATCATTCCTTACACTTTTGGAGTTTGTAGTTTTTATTGGTACAAATACAATGCAATTCATAAACATTTTGGAACATAAAAAACGTTCCATAGATTACATGATACGTTAGCCGACATCTTTTATGAATGCGTGTCATTGTATTTTGTACATGGAACAATATTTTGGCTTAATTAATTTTGTTTGAATCTTATTTGATGCAACAGAGATTTCCCGCCCCACCGGTTCCGGGTATTCCACCGCATGCCATGTACAAAGTAGACCACGCAGGCATTGCTGTCCCCACTCCACCACAATCTGGCCCTCACCCTCGTCTCGACTTTCATCCGGTGAGTCAGTCTGTCACTTAATTCTTTGGGAGTTATATTGCAGAAATGTTCTCGTAGTCAACTAACCAACAATTCGTGATTGTTCACTTTTAATATTTTTAGATTTGATATTAAAGATAAAGAATAAAAGAATGTATTGTTAATGTTTTAATCTCAACACTTGATATTAAATCAAAAGATCAGTGACCATGAATATTCTTGGTCATCAAATGACCTAGAAAACGAGATCTTATTTATTATCTGTATATAAATTCAAAATCGTTGATATCTCATTAGCAGTAACTTTAGTTTAGAACTAATTAAGGATGACAATTTAATCTCTTTTAATTGTATATGTAACAGTCAAAAGAGAGCATAGATGCAGCCATTGGAGATGTTTTATCGAAACCGTGGCTGCCTCTTCCTCTTGGCCTAAGACCTCCCACTACTGATACCGTCATGGTGGAGCTACAGCGACAGGGAGTTCCAAAAATACCACTCTCCTGTGCCTGATGGTGTTTGTTCAAGACACAGAGGTTGAAAACCTCAAATTTGACGACATGTCCTTTCATAGATAATATTGTACACATCGACCTGCTCTGCGAGTTTTTTTCTTTTTTTTTTTTCTTTTCGGCCCGTCATTCTTCTGCCTTCTTCCATAAGCTAATTGAGTACAAACTACTTTCTTCGTAATATGTGTCCAAGACACCTTCTTATATTAGCATATATATGTCGGAATAAAGCGAATGATTTTTGTAGTGGTTGTTCAAAGTAAATAAACTACAAGCTTTTTATGCTCAACCATGCACTGTTAGTTTGCCTTCTGTCCACAATTATATATGGTCACGTTTAAGTGTATAAAGGTAGACTCACTAGATTCGAGATGTGATGAAAGAACAAAATGGTAGAATATCAACGCCTTGTAACTAATACATATAATTTTTTCAACCTGGGTATAATTTGAAAGCTAATCTCAATTTCTTACTTTGAATATACTAAGTTATCTAATAGGTCAATATTATATTATATATTTTACCCTATTCCTAGTATAATTTGGTAATTATTTTGGTAGAATTTTGATATTTTGCTTTATATTTTCAATGTAGGACATTCGACTTCCTCTGAAGAAAAACGTGATCATACAAACGAATTTTAGAGTGATTCAAATTGGAGGACGTTCGTGTGTCTCTTGGCTTATTCGTATCAAAATTTGGGAATTTTCTACCAAGCGATTATTTTCTGACGATTTATTAAAGAAGTAGTGTACATTGCTGAAAAGTGACGTTTCTGGGCTTAAACTGCATTTTTGGAGCCCAAAATGACCTCAGATGGGTTCGTGGCCTTCTGGATAAGTGTTCAGAATAGTCCAAGCTTTAAATCCAGCTATTTTGGGCTAGTTTTGGAGCTGATTTGGGTCCAAAACGTGGCTGTGCAGAATTTTGGCCGAATTACCAAGTTAATGTAGAATTATGTTTCCTATTTTATTTCAATTTATTAGGTTTCCTAGTCTTAATCTAAGACCTTTTACTAGAAGGATTTTAATTAGAGTAATATAAATAGGCCTTTTTGGCCAGCCTAGGGTTTGGGGAACATATGCAAGATTTAAGAAGAAGAATTTGACTAAAGCTCAGAGATTTTCAGACTTTATTCTACAAGGTGTTTTCAATCTTTTTCTAGTTTAATATAATTTTTTTGATTTTTAATTATGAATATGCGTAACTAATTTTCTTTTGCTAGGGCGATGCCTTGAGCCTTAGCATGAATATGTAGTTTTTATCTAATTGCTTATGATCTTACGCATGCATACTTTGAATTATTAATCAATGTGCTTTAAACTGTTTTTGTTTCATAATGATTAATGACCATTAGGATGTTTAGATAAGTAATTGGATGCAATTCGGTCGGAATGCCATCGAGGAATTGAGTATTGTTTCTTGTGATTGATAGTTGTAATTTCACTTAGGGTGAATGCCACATCTTAGGGGTTGCATGGTTTTTCAAAAGGTTTTCACAAATCATAATGAGTCATGCATGCTTATATTTGATCTGAATGTCACAGACGGATTGCATGTTTGATATACGTTCTAGCTTGAATGCCACAAGTAGAATATGCATAAGGAAAACCTAATCTTCAAAGTTGCATGGGTAATTCATAAGTAATTAGCAAATCTACATATAATTGTTAAGGGGATGGTGGAACCCTAGTGCTTTTCCAAATTTATTTCTCAAAACCTTTTCTCTTTGATTTATTTCCTTTTTAATTGGTTATTATATTACTTTTAAATTCAAAATCAACATTTTCCAATCTTTGTTTCAAATAATTAACTGAGATTTTGGTTTTGCATTAATTGTTTTAAATAATCCCAACGGAAAACAACATTGCTTGAGCCATTTATGTTGGAAAATATTAGTATTTTGGTTTATTTGAATATTTGGTTTTTTAGGCTTAGCCCGTTAGAATTAGGTTTTGTTAGGAATTAGGGTTAGTTTATTATAAATAGGGTGCTTTGTTATTCATTAGAGAATAAGAAATCATTCACAATATAACCTCTTGCGTTATATAACCATCATGGCAATCTTTCGTTTACTTAATAAAATTATATTAGTATATATTTCAGTTTGTTCGTTTGTTTATTGCGTACTCTGATATTCAACTTAGTATCAGAGCAGGTTAAATCCTTCGGGAATTAATCTGTTTTGGGGTTGATATCGATTTGTTTGTCTGTTCAATATCAGTTATGTTGTTAAAAGAAAGATGGTTGAATTTGTTTGCTTGGGAGGGCCGAGGCACACCGTGCTGAACCCAGAACCCCAGTTTGAGACCACTGCCACACTAGATCGATTCCTCTCATACCCGCATCACCACCCACACTTCACTGCCTGCCTGAACCTTCCGTGCATCGTCACCCAGCCACCAGCTTTTATACCAGGTTTGCATCATCGCACCACCAGCCACGCCACACCGCCTTGTTGCCCAGAACTCGGACATGTACGATCCTATTATTGTTAGCATCTGACGTTGTAAATTAGCCCTGAACCTGTAAACCCGTCCGCCCATCTGCACGCTGCCGCTGCAATCAGAAACCCAGCACATCTGTCGTTCGAATCCACCCCGTCGCCAAGCCACCCAATCACGCCTCCACCCATTGCTTGAAATCTCACAGCCGTCACTTGCTTCCTCGCCTGAAAAGCTGCAACCACACCTCGGAGTCTGGGTTTAGAATGTTGGTCTGCACATGTTTTGCGCCCATTTTGCTACCAGAACCGAAGAAAGAAGAAGGAAAAGAAAGAAAAAAAAATAGAAAAAGAAAACAGGAAAAAGGAAAAAAAAGAAAAAAATGTATGGAGCCCACAATCTGTTGGGCTATTATGATTTGTTTGAAGGCCTTTAGTTGGGCCTTGTTGATTGAAGCCTGGATTGTTCGTTTGCTTGCTTGATTGCTTGCTCGCTTGTCTGTCTGTTCGCGTTGCGGAGTCTGCCTATTTGTCTGTTCGCGTTGCGGAGCCTGCCTGTCTGTCTGTCCGCCTAACGGAGCCTGTTCACATCTGCTTGTTTGCAAACCCATGTCGTATACCGCCATGCGTTTGACAGGGGGTGTTGGAAAATATTAGTATTTTGGTTTATTTGAATGTTTGGATTTTTGGGCTTAGCCCGTTAGAATTAGGTTTTGTTAGAAATTATGGTTAGTTTATTATAAATAAGGTGCTTTGTTATTCATTAGAGAATAAGAAGTCATTCACAATGTAGCCTCTTGGGTTATATAGCCGTCATGGCAATCTTTCGTTTACTTAATAAAATTATATTAGTTTATATTCAGTTTGTTCGTTTGTTCATTGTGTGCTCTGATATTCAACCATTTATATTATAACAACCTTGTTCGCTTGCAAGTATTTTGTGTGATTTTAACCTCTTTTGCACAAGTACCTAAAAATCCTATCATTATCCAATCCAATTCAATCTTACGTATTATGTTAATATGACTTATAGAATGAAATCTAAAACATTTTAAATTGAAAGTTAATAGCAACACTTAGGGCTGGTTTGGTATTGCTATGCTTTGAAAAAAAAACTGGTGTGAGAATAAGCGGCTGTGCTGTGAGAATAAGCGGCTGTGAAATAAATCAGCAGAGTGTTTGGTAAACTTTTTTGTAAAAGTGCTTTTGGAAGAAAAAAAAGCAGTCTAATAGTGGGTCTTTTCATTAAAGAAGCATTGTAGCTCCGTGTGCTTTGAAAAAAAAACCAGTTTTCCAAAGCTGCAAATAGCAGCTTTAGCTTTTTCCTTTGATTTCAGCTTATTCTCACAGCAACTTCCAAAATAAGCCTTTTTTTTTCAGTTTACCAAACACCTAAAACCCTCCTAGCTTTTTTTCATGGGTGCTTTTTTTTTAAGCACTCACTCCCAAACTAGGTCTTATTCATATCAGTAGCTTTTTCTTTATAAATAAAACTTAGGGATATATCCCAAGTGGTTAATTATGACTCAATATAAACTCTTCAATATGATATACCACATTTGAATTTGAGTTTACCATGTACCTTACCCAAGATGCTACAGCAGCTGGGAATATCTCAAAAAACCAACTCAGATTATGATACTACTCAGCAAACCAATCCTTTGGGTTGTTAACAATGTTTAAACTATAGATCGGTTTTGTATTTCAATTGCAAGATCTGAGTACAATGGTATATATGTGCTGCTAAATAAATTCTGCTCTTGGACTTGTCAGTGTATCTCGCAGCTGCAACCGGCCAAAACCTCCCGTAAGACTTCAATATATATGGCTGTGCTAAGGTTTCTTTTGTGTAGATCAAAAGCATATAAGGATAATCATGCATGCGATAGGATTAAACTGAAAAACACTTGGAATTATCAACTTGATAAACATGCAAACTTATCAATTTAGGTGTTAACTAACATTCTAAATAACAAGGCAACCAGGAGCTGATTCATCAAGTCCAAACCAAAATAACGGTAATAACCAAATCAGGATCAATTCGTAAGCCCAAAACCATGCAGCCAAAACTAAAGGTATTTGAACCAAAATAAACCTAATTACAAAAAATGCATATGCATGACAAACTTACCTGAGTGTATCTAAAATGCTTGACATTCTTATGATCAAGAGCATGAGAGACAAACTTAGACTTAAATAATTATAACCGAAAACATGCACTAGTATAAGAAATTACAAACTCAAGCATTTTGTTAGAAATTACCAATTTTACACAAATGTCTTTCAGTCTAGAAGTTTATGTGATCATTCTTAGTGCTTTAAACCTGATGGGTGGTGATTTAGGCCTTCCAAAGCATCATTCACAACAGCCCACTTGAGTGGCTGATTTCCCCCACCATTTCTGGAGCGGGGTCGTAATCAAAAACAAAAAAAAAACAAAAATATGACCTTTGAAAAGAAAAGCACTCACAATGTTTTGACATGTCGAGGCACGCAGGCATTCTTAGTCCAGTGATTGCGCCACAAACAACAATACCTTCAACTTCAAGATTGCTTAGAAACAAATCAATGACTATTGGGGTAAGATGCCATGCTTTTTGTTCATGCCGCTTTTATCCAATACTTCTGTAAATACTGTTTTATTTGGTTTTTCTTTTTTAGAAATTGAGTGACGATAAAATATTTACATTAAGACCCGTGAGATTGAATAAATTGATGTTAAAATTGCCAGTCACGAAACTCAAACCTAATAAATCTTTCACTTGGAAATGAAACTAAGTGATTTTCTTTTGGCATGAAGCACAAACATAATTTGAAAAACAAAAAAACAAAAAACAAAAAAAAACACATCATCAAGCAATATCAAAGGAAAGCCAGAATGGGAATGGGGAGTGGGGCCTCTCACCGTCCTTTTCTTTTTCCTTTCTCTTTTTAAATTTTTCTTTACCTAACTAACTCAACTGCCAATATAAAATATAAAAAGAACTAACTCAACTAGTTGATCTTTAGTCGGAATGGGGAGGTGAGTTCGCAAAGCATGTTTAGCTTCTCATACAATATTTTTTTTGCATTTGGTCATTAGATTCAACAAATTTAACAGGGACAATGGACAAGGCTAAACTAGATTGTGTGAGAAGTTAAACAAGGTGTATATTTATCATTAATTATTGATTCATACACATATGTGTATATAGTGTTTAGCTTACAACTCAATTATTAAAAGTAGACTAATTTAGTGGTATAACACGTGTTAAAAATTATGTAAAAGATCTAACAACTAATTGCATTTTGCAATCTTCAGATTTGAGGTGATTTTCAAAATGGGTTAAGAGGCTCTAATTTTTTTGACATTGCACTTTGAGGTTTTCAAATTAGGTAATGCTAGATAGACTAAATTTGTAGACTAAATTTTTAAAATTAAAGAAAATGAAAGTTGATGATTGGTTTATTACTTAAAGTGTTGATAAGCGAGCTAATTTATATTGGTAATACATTATTTAGTTTGTAAAGTTTGAGAAATTTTTAGTTGTGACGGGAACACAAGTGGTACACCACGTGTTTTAATAGGAATTGTGGAAAATTTTATTTTTTAAGTTATTAACTTTTTAGCACACATATCCCACCATTTGTTTAGTGACACGTGATACACCACCCCATATACCGGTCACACTGAAAAATCTCTCGTAAATTTTGCCTAAAAATTTAGGGGTGTGCTATCCACACACCCCAAATTAATTCTCACACATCCCTTGTTAATTTCTGTTCGTTGATCTTCTTTAATTCATCCGATCCGATGACCGAAAATTAAAAGAGTGTGTGAGAAATAAAATGAGGTGCGTGGATATCACACCCCAAAATTTAATCTCTCTAGTATTACCCCTTGAAATTATATCAGCGTAGGACCCTTTGGTTGCATAACTAAAAGGAAAAAGGAAAATCCGTTTCTATAGGCTTTTGACCGAGAGTCATGCGTCATGAATTGCACATGCAGCGTGCCCTATATCCCTCTATTTTCAAACCCCACATGGATCCCCTTCCTCAATCTACGCATAATTGCTCGGCCAATTAGTTAGACAACACAAGCACAGCAAAATCCTCTCTATAAATAAGCTTCAAAAATACAAGACATTACACCACCAAGTCCTAAACCCTAAAAGCAATGGCTTCTTTTGCAAAACCACTGCCATTTTTCTTCCTTCTGGTGCTAGTTTGCTCTTCTTTTATACGCATCATTCATGCTAGACAGAGCGTGTCTTTCAGCAAGGTCACCCACGACGACAACAACAACAACGACAAAAACGATAATTATGTTATGGAGGCGGAGGCCGAAGCACCAACGCCAGCACTACAAGTAGTAGCAGAGGCACCGGAACTAGTACCAACACCGGCACCGACACCAAGTTACACCGAAAGAGACCATGGCAGCAACAGCGGCCTTTATGGTCTTGGCTCGACCAATTCCCCTTCCACGAAGGAGACTCCAACCACAATTACCGATGTTGAAGATCAAATTTTGAGTGAAGAACTTAGCGGTGAAAGTTTTGATCATCCAAAAGGTAATTACGAAAGCACCAACTTGTACAACAAGGACAACATTAATCAGGACACTGGCTACACCGGCAACAGCTACTATGTCAAAAACTACGATAGCAGAGGAGGCTACAACCGCAATCCCCCGAGTGGAGGCAATGGGATTAGTGAACAGCAAGGGATTAGTAAACAGGACATTGGCTACACCGTCAACAGTTACTACGTCAAAAATTTCGATGGCAGAGGAGGCTACAACCGCAATCCCCCCGGTGGAGGGAATGAGATTAGTGAACAGCAAGGGATGAGTGATACAAGGTTTCTGGAAAATGGTAAATACTATCATGATGTGAAGAATGAGATCAAAAATAATAATTTCAATGGTAACTACGAATCAGATGGGAGAGGAAGTACCAGAAATGATGTTGAGGGCTATTATGGCAACAGTCACAGCTCCAATGAATTCAACACCATGGAGGAGTATGATAGGTACCAGAAGACCCAAGGATATGTGCCCTAAATGATATTTATGTTACACTTTGCACAATTATGTCCAACATACAGAGAGATCTCATGTTTTTAGGTGTGCGTTGAAAACTTAATCAATATATAAGAGATTTTATGGTTTGTTTTGGAATTCCATTTGTCTTTTGTATATGTTTTCGCTATAAAAATTAAACCCTTTCACTCCTAACAAGTTTCTAATTCGCCAATTCTTCATACTTTCGAATATATTTATATGGATGAGTGTCCAAAGATGATTTTTTGGTGTAAATAGAAATACTGTTTTCCCTTTTACAAACATCTGCTCAATTGTTATAAATTATATGGGTGCCATGTTAATGTCACATTATTTTCATTTTGTTATATCTAGAAGGTTTAGTCTGAATTCATATTAGTTAAAGAGTCATTGGGTTAGCTAGGCAAATTATCTTATCTTATTCTTTTGTCCAAGGATAGAAGATTTTATTGAATTGGAATAGAAACGTATATAGAAGATTTTATTGAATTGGAATAGAAACGTATGCATCGGATGCCACATCATTGAACTACCAAACACATATTTTACTCTAGCCTTTTTTTACCCTTATTTTTAAAATAATTTAAGCAGTACCAAACCAGTACAAGCGCGGAGATCAAACAAGAAGTCTACTGACCTCAAGTGTTGCTTCAAAAAGTGTATGTCGTATGGAAAAATTTCAATCGTAGCCTCCGGCTAAACTTCACCTCTAGGGCTCTAACCACTCCCACAAGGGTCTGAGAATCAGATTCTATATCAACCTAGATAAATCCTTTCTCCACACAAGCCACCCGCCCTCACCGGCTTCCGCCTCGACCATGATACTCCATTCGCAATGAATTGGTCACAACCACCCGGACCTTGAAATAGACCCGCAAAATTTCTTGCCACCCACCCAGGGGGGACCGACTTAGGGGCAAGGGGGGTCAGCTGACCCTCCAAACTCTAGTGAATCTTTATGGATGACTTGGGTGTTGCCTTTTTTAAGGTTGGAGTTGCCTTTCATATATGCCCTTCAATTGCTTGATAAAATGCGTTAGAGATGTGTTGCCCATTTACAATCTAGTCCTAATATTATAGGGAACTTTAACGAAAGCACCCGATACTGTTCACTTTAACGAAAAACCACATTTTTACACTAAAAAGTCAATCCTGGTACTATTCACTTTACCCTTTATTTTGTCCTTATCATTAAAACTCAAAATTTTCAAGCCCTTTTCATTAGTTTTCCTATACCTTGGGAACTTTAATGAAAAGCACCCGGTACTGTTCACTTTAACGAAAAACCACATTTTTACACTAAAAATTTAATCCTGGTACTATTCACTTTACCCTTTATTTTAGGAAGAAAAAAACAATCCAAAAATGCAAAGTAAATGAAATGGTGATATCAAAGAATAACAAAGCATCATCATTCTTGGACAAACATATTAATAAGATGCAATGATATCAAACATTGTTAGTGTGTTCAAGATAAATGTGTTTCTTCGTTAAGCATTTATATGGGAGCAGCTTTGGAACATGTTAGTTACCTCCTCAAATGAGGCATTAACATGTGTGTATTATGTCTTTTCAAATGACTTCAAGTCTATCAAGACTCGATGAAATGACAATATACATGCTATTTCTGATATATAAAAAAAAAAGTGCACGCTACGTGCGCTATTCTTCTTTTCATCTCGTCTTGCGCAGGCACTAATTTAGAAAATGTCGAACTATGCACCCAGCAATCGCTGTATGATTCCAGGTACAATGCAGAACACCATTGACAATTAACGGACACATTCAACCAATCCAATCTCCAATGAGCAATCAAAGTTAAAAAAAAAAAAACGAAGAAATAAATAACAATTTAAAAGCAGGAAAGGAAGAACAGCACAGATGTATGATGTATCAACATAATAAATGTCCAACCAAAATATAAGCAACTACTGCAATATTCGAAAATCCATGCCCGAAATATCGGTACTTAAATCCAAATGTATAGCAATTTGACTAAAACAAAGTAAATCCAATTGTATGGCAATGTCTAAATTCCTAAACTAAGAAATTAATTATAAAACAAACATGCGCGTTTAAGCACGTTCACCACGGATCCTCCTAGCGAGCTGAACGTCCTTTGGCATTATGGTAACTCTTTTGGCATGAATGGCGCAAAGGTTGGTGTCCTCAAACAGTCCAACCAAATAAGCCTCCGCAGCTTCCTGGAGAGCAAGAATAGCATGGCTCTGGAACCGCAGGTCCGTCTTGTAGTCCTGTGCGAGTTCACGAACAAGGCGTTGGAACGGCAGCTTGCGGATCAGAAGCTCAGTGCTCTTCTGGTATTTTCGAATTTCGCTGTAAGTTAATATAAAATTGAATTAGAACACGATTCAGGTAACAAAATTCAAGAACATTTGCGTACCAAAATTCAGGAACACGGTTCGGATAACGAAATTCAAAGAACACGTACGATACATATAATAAAATTAAAGAACTTGATTCAGAAGATTGAACTGAATTGATTTTCTAAACATACCGAAGAGCGACGGTTCCAGGGCGGTAGCGGTGAGGCTTCTTGACTCCTCCGGTTGTGGGTGTTGATTTCCTTGCAGCCTATACAAAATTAAAACAATTAGCAACTTAGATCAAATAAACCGGATAAAATCGCTTGCAATTATCAATTCTAATTTTCTAGACATTAGAAACCCTAACGAAACGCACCTTGAAGGCAAGTGACTTCCTCGGAGCCTTACCGCCGGTGGATTTACGAGCAGTTTGCTTCGTACGAGCCATTTCTTCACAATAAAAGACGCAAAAGAATTTGAAAATCAGAGTGACGAAGAACCGATCAGAAAGAAACACAAAGATTACGAACTCAAACAAATTGGAAGATAACAAACTCGAACCTTTCGAGAGGGGAGAAATTAGGGTTTTGATATTCACACTTCGTCAAGTCGCGAATGAGATAGAAGGAGGGAATGAGAAAACGGTTATTTATAGTGGTAGAGGCGGTTGAAAACGTGGGCTACAAGTCTTCTGCAACAACTAGGGTTTGGAGGGGGTTTTAATTTCGGAAATATCTTAATCCTCGTGATTTGTTTCTGATTGGCTGAATTGCTGATTCGTGGATTGCCAACGTGAATTATTTGTGTTTCTTTTGTGAGGGATTCGTGATTAGGAAAGCTTAACAAATAAAAGGGGTAAAACGGAAAGAAAAAAAAAAACTGGAAGTAACGAAAAGAAAACTGTCATGAACCCATAAATCCACGTTGCACTAGAAATTATGAGTAGAAGATAAATCTTTCTTCTATTTTGGGTAAAAAAAGGTTTATCAATTTTTTTTCACTTTTTTTGTTTTCTAGGGATTCCAAGTTCCAACATTTAATTTTGCAACATTTAAGTTTGTCTTCTTGCTTCTAATTGTTTTCGAATATTGACTATAACAAACGATACTATTTACACTAAGGGAATGGAGGAGTGGCCTAAGCCTTATAATTGATTAACAATAATATGGTTCAAATTCGTCTTTGGCGAAAATCGAACATAAGATCTCTTACTTACAAGTGAAGAGAAATATCACTAAACCGTAGTACTAAGTCCCAAGGTATACCAAGTTTTTAACTAGAAGATATTCACGCTCTTTATCTTCTCAAATTCAAGAGTCGACCCGTTTGTATTGATCACGTGTTCCGTGTCTACGAAAGTTCATTAATCGGACAGTTCCTTAAAAAAAACATGTTAAATTTTTGAATATAAGGCCCAATACATCAGCCCAATAAAACAGTGCAGTACAGGGTATTTTTCATTTCTATAAACCCCCAGCAGAGGGAGTGTTAAAGAAAGGAAAAGAGTTGTGAGTCGTGACTGAGGTTTTCTTGTTCAAGAGGAAAGCAGAAAGAGGAGAAGACGAACTTCGATCATGGCACCTCAAGATCCAAACGCCCCAAGCGGAAGCGGCTCCGGCAAGCGCAATGAGGATACCGTTAAAGTCCCCGCAACGGACCCCAAGAAGAAGGACGATAAGAAGGATGAGGATTTGGTAAGCAAATCCAGGGGTTAGGGTTCCGTTCACTGCCTGTTTGGTTCTCCAGAAAATTTATTAAGCTGAAGTTCCCGCACTAGAAACTCTCTACTAGCATTGATATTTAGGGTTCGTTCATGTCTATTTGTGTCAAGGCCAGTATTAGCATATAAAATTCAAGTATTTTTTTACTTAATCCAAGTCGTTTTCAATTTATTTTGTTTCTTGATTAGTCCAAGAGTTCCGATGTGTTCGATTGTTAAATTGATTAACAAGGGTGTTTACTGTTTAGTATTCGATGAAAATTTGCTTCTTTAATTGAGCTGCATTGGATTTCCGTGCAGTCTGAGGAGGATTTGGAGTTGAAGAACCAATTAGAGTTGTACGTCGAGAGGGTTCAGGATACTGATCCTGGTGTGCAGAAGAATGCTCTAGAGAGTATGAGGTAGACTCTTTTTGTCCTCTTAAAAGTTAGTAATAGACCATCAAGCAAAGTGGTTTGTAATGTAATTAGCTTATATGGAACCCTTCACTGTCTATGGCACTATGGGAAATCGCATTCTATGCCATCCTTTTTCCCCTCCGATAACCACTGTCTTTGTGAATTATAGTCTATACTTTATCACAAGTCCCAATTTTTATTGAGCAGTTTTTGAGGGAATAGAAAAAATGTGTGGAAATAGCGTGGAGGAATATTTAGGAAATTCGAAGGGAAAAAATTACTTGATATTCTCAAAGGGAGCCAAGTATAAAATAATATTCACTTTTACAGTGAACTGAATTCCGTGATGCTTTATCCGCTATCTTTTAAGTTATAGCTACAGGGCCGTTGAACGAAAAAAACACTATCTTTGAGCCCTTTATATTTATGATTATTTGTTTTTATGGCAAAAAAATGAAGGTAAAGAGGGGTTGACTTTGGGGTATTCTATTGTTCCTCCTAGTGAATCTGTAAAGAGACATTGGTAGTCAGCACTCAGCAGTAAATATGGCACTATAAAGATCCAAAAGGGTCTTCGGTGGGAAATTGTTTTATCTATGCTTCATTGTTGCTGAACCTAGAGTTTCTAGAAAACATAAAATTATGGAAAGCAGAGGTTTTCTAACTCTGACCAACGCTGTTATGGATGTGATGTGTGTGTATGATTATTATGTTATAAATGCAATTTGCACCTGAAAGTATTTTGCAATCTTTGGTTAGTGTAGAAAGTGATTGATGTGTTATATTCATTTTTTACTTTTACATAGCAGTTACTACGCTTCATACCTGGAGTGGAAGCAGTAATTTTTTCTTATATAGTTTTATCTCATAAGAGGTCGCACTTGGTGCGATGGCAAGTGCCTTCGCCCATGAGCGGTAGGTCTCGGGTTTGAGACTTGGGAGCAGCCTCTCCATAAATGGGGGTAAGGCTAGCCGACATTCACCTCTCCCAGACTCTGCGTAAAGCGGGAGCCTTGTGCACTGGGTACGACTTTTATAGTTTTATCTCATAGGGTGTGACCTGACATCACATAAAATTTCATCTCATAGGCAGGAAATCCGTACCTCAACTAGCTCCATGACTTCAGTTCCAAAGCCATTAAAGTATCTTCGCCCACATTATGGAACTCTAAAAGCTTACTATGAAACAATGGCAGAATCAGAGTTGAAGGTATAATTATTAGTTTCTCATAGAATAGGTGTAGTTCATGTATTTGTACCCTGCCGACTTTAATATTGTTCACTGTAGTGTAATTAATCTACCTTCTCGTACATGCAGAAATACCTAGCAGATATATTGTCTGTTTTGGCACTGACCATGTCAGCTGAGGGAGAACGGGTACGCCAATATACTTATTTTAGGATTTCTGTTCAATTATTCTCCTTATTGGTTGGTTGTATTTATTAATACTAGTATACTTGTTCATTTTAGTTCTGGTTCACCTTCCTTGTGATATTCAGAATAATTGTGTTCATCTTGTCTATATGTCCACCACTTTCAGGAAAGCTTGAAGTACAGGTTGTTGGGTTCGGATGGTGATATTGGTTCATGGGGCCATGAATATGTCAGGTCAGACTAATCTAGTTTAGAACTTTCCTCTAGGGAAGTTTTGTGGTATTATAGTATCATAATTCCCAATATATTTAGGTTTTTTTGGGGGTTTTAAAGGTTCCTTGGGATTAGTGTCTGAATTTGTGTTCAGAAAATATTTTTTGCTCACTACTGGTTGACTTTCTTGTTTGTAATCAGGAACTTAGCTGGAGAAATTGCTCAGGAATTTGCTAAGCGACAGGTTTTATGTCTATCCTGTATATATGATGTAATAACATTTTTATTTAAAAGTTACTGTAGGTTGTTCGGAGCATATTTTTACGTTGATCTCAATCATTTGTTTACTTGTGAAATTGAGAACATTAGCATAAGCCAGATTAATATAGCTAGGAATACATGGTTGCAGTGCTTAATATAGCTAAAAACACAAATTGCATGGTCATTTGTTTCTTAGCCATATCTTCTTTTACTTGTCTATTCTTGGTATCATTAAATTTATTTCTGGAGATGTGTCAATTAATGAGTGAAACAAGACCTTTAATGCTTCATGTCATTGTTTATGGCCTCATTATAAAAATTTATTCTAAATTTTACTTTGTTATTCTCGTTACAGAGTGAAGAGGCCCCAATTGAAGAATTAATGGAATTAGTGCAGCAAATTGTTGCTTTTCACATGAAGGTAATATTCGTAACACGTTTGCGCTTTGAATTTTTTTCCTTCTTGCTAGGGTAGATGATCAAGTTACACATAAATCCTTGATAGTTTGAAAATGCCCCCTGAAGATGGGTAGATGATGTAAAGCCAAATCAGGCTCCTCTTCATTTGTGTTTTAAGTAGAGCTTTAGCTTGTATTATGATATTATCTATCTCATTGCAAACAAAAGCTTGGAAATATATTATAAATAAGACATTGTCCACAAAGTTTCAAAAGCCGAACTCCTCTTGTTGATGCACTTCAACCCATTTAATTTAATTGAATGGGAAATTTCCATCTGGAAGGTGGACAGAAAATCCAAATCTATAAACAGTAGGCGATGTTAAATAGGAAAACTGTATTGGTTTTGCTTCTAATTATTTGTTCTGCATTGCAGCACAATGCTGAACCTGAAGCTGTCGACCTTTTAATGGAGGTAAAATCTATTAATTAATTATTCAATATTCTTTTCCTGTGAAGCCATTTGTACTTTCCCTTTCTTCTTGGGCCTGATAATTTGACCAATGACCAGGTTGAAGACCTTGATCTATTAATTGAGCATGTTGATAAAACAAATTTTAAGAGGACTTGTCTCTACCTCACCAGTTCAGCAAGGTAAGCAGATGAAGTTAAGAAATTTCTCTTTGCATGTGACACTCTTATGGGGCAAAAAGTGGCATAGCTTCTCATGACTATTCAGAAGTCTGATTTAAGTTGTTAACTGAATTTTTCTTAAAACAAGTTCATAACTTTAGATGTGGAGGAAATATATGGAGGTATTCCTCTAAATTTGTCATTGCATGTTAATGCTACATATGACAGTACCGTCCTATGGACTTGGTTTTTCCAAATTCTTTGATTTTGCTTCTTTGGGGATGATGTTAGAGCATCTACAAGACTTTCCAATACCAAGTGAACCTGCTTTCCAATTTGGGTTGCATTCTAATTAGTTTAGGGTTTTTTATTTCCTTCTGTCTTGTCTGAAGTTTATTTTGTTTTTAGTTTGGCAGATCGTGTTTATTAGTCTTTTTAAGTGATCAGGTCGTTTTTGAAGTATTTCACAGGGGTAGGGTTGAATCAATTAGTTAAGCAAACAAGGGCTAGGATGCTAGGGCTACTAACCCTAGTATAAATACTCTTTTTGGAGGCTCATGTGCATTTTACCCAGCTTATCTCAGAAAATTAGATTTAGAGTCTAGCTTGGGTCTCTATGCCCTAGATCTAATCTGTCAACTTTCGAAATTTGATCCCATTGCTTTTTCTCTATTGTTTCCTATTATTAATTGCCAAAACGTTGAGATTTAAAGGTTTCAGTTGGGGCATTTGGCAATAAAAAT